GCCCAACCTTCCTTCCGAGGAGTGGCTGGTGGGTTTGAACCACCGGCCTTCTGGTTAGCAGTCAAGTGCTTTAGCCACTATGCTACCAGAGCTCCCCTTTTATCTCTAGGCCTCCCCAAAGGACTGGAGAGATCTAGTGATGAGTCCTGATCTGTGCTGTGTCCTGGAACATAGCAAGGCCCACTGACAGCATGATCCTGCCCAATTGTGCTCCTGAAGCAGACTCTGCCCAACCTGTCCCAGCTTCTCTGTGGTTCAGCATCAAGGTAAAACAGTCCTTGAAACAGAATAGCCCAGAAAAAAGAAAGAAAAACACTTTCACTAACAAGTACAAGAGGAAATAAGGGATTTTTCACCATAATATACTCGCTTTGAAGGGAGGGAAAAAGGCCCACAAATCAATGTAACTGAAAAAATCAGTGGATAAAAAAATCACATAAGATAATTTTAGATAGATGACAGATAGATAGAGAGACAGAAAGACAGACAGACAGATAGATAGATAACAGATAAATTCAGGTCCCTACATGGAAGCAGGTAAGTTTCACATTTATACCCGCATCTCCTGACGTGACATTATAAAACACCTCAAGCAATATATAGTCAAGTTAAAGAGAAGGGGAGGGGCTAGTAACAGCCCCCACCATTTTTTCTTAGTATGTCTATATATTGTAAGTTTTCAAAACTTACAATATTACATTAAAGCTAGTGTGGGTTAATTTGAGAAAACTGATGAAAGAGGGGGGAAGAAACCCATATGGTAGCATTATATTTTAACTTAACAGATGTCTAAAAGAATGGATTAAAGAGTACTTTCATAAATAAATTATATGCAAAAGTTATTTGAATTTTAATATAACTTAGGCTTCATAGTTCTTCAGTTGGCAGGTATAGCAGAGACAGTTAGTGCTCACTAAATATTCCATCCACCATCTGTCTGTCAGTTTATCATACTGTGGTGGCTTGCATGTTGCTATGATGCTGTCAGCTATGCCACCAGTATTTCAAATAACAGCAGAATCACCCACAGTGGCCAGGTTTCAGCAAAGCTTCCAGAATACGTAAAACAGATTACGAGGAAAAATCTAGCAATCAACTTCTAAAAATTATCCAATGAAAAATCCTATGGACCACAACAGAACATTATCCAATACAGTGCTGGCAGATGAGCCCCCTAGGTTGGAAGGCACTATACAATAGCAGAAATAGACTCAAATACCCCCTACACTTCTCAGCCTCCCTTGCAATTAGGCCAGGGCCTTTGACTACTTTTGCCCAATGGACTATGAGTAGGAGTGGCTAAGCCTACACAATTATGAGCTAGGAGCCTTCTGCATCCCTCTCCTTTCTTCTTTACTTGGTGATTTCAAAGGTCATATTTTTCCAGATGAGACAGTTACAAGATGATGGAGTTTTCTTCAGCCTAAGCTCCTGAGTGACTCTGTGGGATGAGGCTCTACTGACCCCAGATGAAATGTAACCTGAGTAAAATATACAGCTTTGATACATTAAACATCTCAGACTTGGGGTGTTATCTGCTGTGGCAGCTAGCTTTGAGTAAATTACTTAATATATGGGGTTTGAACATTAAGGTGCACTTGACCCAGATCTTGGTATTTTCAATCATTTCATATGTGTGTGAAAGTCAGGCAACAACTAAGGAAGACCAAAGAAGAAACGATGCATTTGAATTATGCTGTTGGTGAAGAATATTAACTATACCGTGGACTGCCAGAAGAACAAACAAATGTGTCTTGGAAGAAGTACAGCCATAATGCCCTTTAGAAGCAAAGATGGTGAGACTTTGTCTCACATACTTCGGACATGTTATCAGGAAGAACTAGTCTATGAAGAAGGACATTATGCTTTGTAAAGTAGGTCATCAGTGAAAAAGAGGAAGACCCTCAATGAGATGGACTGACAAGTAGCTGAAACAATGGCTCAAACATGACAATGATTGTGAGGATGGCACAGATTAGGTAGTGTTTCATTCAGTTGTACGTAGGCTCACTATTAATCACAAATGATTCAACAGCCATTAACAACAACATTTCCATGATGAAGCTTCTATTTAAATTATTGAAATTTCCTGAAAGCTACATAAAATCTTTTGAGATAAAATGAGAAAACCCTAAGCCATGAGGAAGAGAATGCTAGGAAAAAAGTTGTTGCTGTGTGCCATTGAGTTAATTCTAACCCATAGTGCCCCTATAGGACAGAAAGCTGCCCCCATAGGTCCTATAAGGCTATATGCAACCAGATTGCCACACCTTTCTCCCATGGAGAAGCTGGTGGGTTCAATCCATCAACTTTTTGGTCAGCAATCAAGCACATAACCACTGCACCACCAGGGCTTCTTTAAAGAACAAAAGGGGAAGAGAAAATATTATATTTGGCTATTAGGAAAATTTCTTTGGAAAAATACTGACTTACAACAAAAAGAAGAGATACTACTTTTAAATTTATTCTTATAAATATGGACTTTAGTATAAGCTTGGTAATGTTGAAATTAAGAGAAGGTAATAAGTTAGAGTTTGAAGTTAACATGAGTATTAGTATCAACTTTACATCCTGTCTCATTCTCCATGAAGGACCACTTGGCCCCCTGTCATATCCCCAGAAAACCAACACTAGCTTCTAATGAGAGAGAGATTTCACTCAAAATTCCCTGGTAAGAGAGGGAAAGTTTTAGAGCATGGTATGTTGTTTTTGTTGTTGTTATGTGCCATCGAGTTAGACCCGACTCATAGCAACACCTCCTTGAGTTTCCCAGGCAGTATCACTACGGAAGTAGATTGCCCCATCTTCCTTCCAAGGAGTGGCTGGTGGGTTTGAACCGCCACCCTTCTGGTTAGCAGTCAAGTGCCTTATGCACTACGCTACCAGGGCTCCCACAGCATGGTATACTGGCACATTAATCTTCTTCAAATTCCCTGCTCTCATGACTCCTATAAAAACCTCTCCCTTTAGCAGACTCTCCAAATAAAATCCAGTCTTTCTCTCAGATATCCCTTTATTTATGCTACACAGTTAAATTCTTCCCAGGCTCCTCCTCCAATTCTACATCCCCAGAGACATCATTGAAGATCATTTTCAAGGTCATTTTACTGTGGATGTCATAAGGCTCAGTCAGCAAAAAGGCCTGGAGTTAGAAAATCAAAAGGGAAGAACACACTTGGCATTTCTCAAGCTAAGAGAATTGAACAAAAAAGTAAGTATATATTATATATACATATAATATATATATATATGTAAATTTATATAAATATCTACAAATATAATATATACAAATACATATTTATGTAATATATAAATATAGTAAATGACTCAGGTGGCATCAAAAGAAGAAGATGGAAGGAATACATAGAGTCACTCCTCCAAAAAGAATTGGTCAATGTTAATCATTTCAGGAGGTACCATATGATCACGAACCAACGGCACTGAAGGAAGAAGCCCAAGGTCACTGAAGGCATTGGTGAAAAACAAGGCTCTGGAAATTGACAGAATATCCGTTAGGATATTTCAACAAACGAATGCAACAACTCACTCATATATGCCAAGAAATTTGGAAGACAGCTACCTAGCCAACCAATGGAAAGAGATCCATATTTGTGGTCATTCCAAAGAAAGGTGGCCCAACATAATGCTGGAATTATCAACAATATCATTAATATCACACACAAACAAAATTTTGCTAAAAATAATTAAAGTTGGTTGCAGCAGTACATCAACAGGGAAGTCAGAAATTCAAGCCAGATTCAGAATAGGGCATGGAATGAGGAATATTGCTGCTGATGTCAGATGGATCTAGGCTGAAACAGAAAACTAGAAAGATTTTTACCTGTTATGTTATTATATAAAGG